CGGTCGCGGGGTCGAGAGCGGGTGCGCGAAGCTCTTCTGCCATTGATTTCCTCCGGTTTCGGGGGCGGCGCGGGATGAGGAGACAACATACAGATTCCCTCACCCTGAGTAGCGGCGCAGCCGCGTATCGAAGGGCCGGCCCTAAGCGGGGCGGACGATGACATTGCCCAGGCGGTCGACGGTGGCGGCGAGCCCGGGATCGATGAAAATCGTCGCATCGTCCTGTTCGAGGATCGCGGGGCCGGGATCGTGGCGCCGACCGGCAGCGCGATGCGGTCGTAGATCGCCGTCTGGTGCCATCCCCCTCCCACCAGACGCGCCGCGAACCTCCGCGCGCCGCCTCCAGCGTGGCGTCGGGCGCGGGGCCGAGGAGGGCGAGATCGAATTTGGGCCGGATGCCGATCACCGCCGTCCGCAGCGACAACAGGCGCACGCCGATCCCCTCCAGCACGCGTCCATAGGTCTTGCGGTAGGCGGTGTCGAAGGCGGTCCGGATCATCCCGGCGGAGACATCGGTGGCGCCGCCGGCGAGCCGCGCGGGCAGCGGAACCGGCACCGTGTGGGTCTGGCCGATATAGGACATGTCGAGTTCGAAGGCGATTTCGAGGCGCTCCAGATCGGCCCCCGACCGGCGCAGCAGCGCGAGCCCGCGTTCCGCGGTCTCCGCCATCTCGGCGTCGAGCGCAGCCACATCGAGCGCGTCGAGCGGCCGGTTGATGGTGTGGACGAATCATGGCGCATGTCGGCGATCACGCAGCCGAGCGCGCTGGTCACGCCGGGGAAGCGCGGGATCAGCGCGCTGGCGAGGCCGACATCGCGGATCAGCGCCCCGACATGGAGCGCGCCGCCGCCGCCGAACGGCATGGCCGCGAATATCTTCGGATCGTAGCCGCGCTCGATGGAAACCAGCCGGATGGCGCCGGCCATGTTGGAATTGGCGACCTTGACGATCGCCTCGGCGGCCGCCTCGACATCGAGGCCGAGGGGCGCGGCGACATGCTTGCCGATGGCGGCGGCGGCGGCGTCGACATCGAGCCGGTCGAGACCCCCGCCGATCGGCCGGTCGGGGTTGATCCGCCCGAGCGCCAGATTGGCGTCGGTCACCGTCGGCCGGTCGTTGCCGCGTCCGTAGCAGGCGGGGCCGGGATCGGCGCCCGCCGATTCGGGGCCGACGGCGAGGTAGCCGCCGCGGTCGACCGCCGCGATCGAGCCGCCGCCGGCCCCGATGGTGGTGATCTCGATCATCGGCGTGCGCACGACCAGGCCGAAATCGATCGCCGTTTGCAGGCAATAGGCGCTCTTGCCCCCGGCGACCAGGGCGACGTCGAAGCTGGTGCCGCCCATGTCGCAGGTGATCACGTTGGCGAACCCCGCGGCCTCGGCGATCCGCGCGCCCGCGATCACCCCCGCGGCGGGTCCCGACAGCGTGGTTCGAACCGGGAGAGAGCGCGCCGTGTCGACCGACATCACCCCGCCATTGGACTGGACGATCAGCAATTCGGCGTCGATCCCCTGGCGCGCGAACCCGGCCTCGACGCCTTCCAGATAGGCGCCGAAGATCGGCTGCAGGCAGACATTGAGCGCCGTCGTCGATGCCCGCTCGAATTCGCGGATTTCGGGCAGGATCAGCGACGAGGCGTTGACATGGGGGTTGGGCCAGACCGCGCGCACCGCCTCCAGCGCGGCGCGCTCGTTGGCGTCGTTGGCATAGGCGTTGATGAAGACGATGCCGACCGCCTCGCAGCCGCGCTGCAATAGCGCCAGCGCCGCGCGGGTCACCTCGTCGGAATCGACCGGCCTGCGGATGGAGCCGTCGGCGAGCACCCGCTCGTCGACCTCGATCGCCAGGTCGCGGGTCACCACCGGCCGGTAGCTGCCCCACAACCCCCAGGTATTGGGCCGGTCGCGCCGGCGCATCTCCAGCACGTCGCGGAAGCCGTTCGTGGTGATCAGCCCGGTGCGCGCCGCCTTCCGTTCGAGCAGCGCGTTGGTGCCGACGGTGGTGCCGTGGACCACGGACCCGATGGTCGCGGGCTCGGCAACCGAGGTCGCGATCCCTTGCAGAAACCCCTTGGCGATGTCGTCCCTGACGGACGGCACCTTGCCGATGCCGAACCGCCCCGTCCGCTCGTCGAGCCAGAACACATCGGTAAAGGTCCCGCCGACATCGACGCCGAGGCGCATCCCGCCATTGCCGGTCACGCCGGGAGACGCTCCATTGTGCCGTCGGCGGCGATGGTCACGCGGTAGTCGCGTTCGGCGGCCGCGGCGCTCACCAGCTCGAGCGCGACATCGCGGGCGATGGCCTCGAGCGGCCGGTCCCCGGGCGGGCCGTAGCCGCCGCCGCCCGGGCTCTCGATGCGGACGCACTGGCCCTTGCGCAGGACGACGCCGGAGAGCTTGGCGGTGCGGTGGGGCGAGTGCTCCCCGTCATCCTGCTGGTAGACGATCCGGTTGGGCGCGCCGGAGCCGCCGCCGAGAATGCCGAAGGCGGGGAATCGCGCGCGCTCGCCGAACACCACGAGATCGGCCTCCTCGGCCAGCATCTCGAACTCGTAGATCGCGCCCAGCCCGCCGCGGTTGCGCCCCGGCCCGCCGCTGTCCCGCCTGAGCCCCCAGCGGGTGACGCAGGCGGGATACGCGGCCTCCAGGATTTCCGCCGGCGGGATGTTGGCCATGCCGATGGGCGCATTGCCGTGGCTCAGCCCGTCGCCCTCCGGGTTGCCGCCGAGCCCGCCGCCGAAAAACGTGAACAGGATGAATTTCGAGCCGTTGTCGCGTTTGCCCGACATCAGCAGCGCGTTGACGGTCGCGAAGCAGGCCGCGTTCGCCCGCTCGGGCGCGGCCTTGGCGAGCGCGCCGAAGATCACGTCGATGGTCCGCATGATGTTCTCGGTATAGCCCGAGACCGGCGCCGGCGGCTCGGCGGCGAGGATCGAGCCCTCCGGGATGACGAAGCGGATCGGTTCGAGACAGCCGCCGCTGGTCGGCACCTCGTGGAAGACATGTTTGAGCGCAACGAAGGAGGCGGCGATGGTGGTCGCGCGCGAGACGTTCAACGGCCCGGCGCAGGCCGGCGCCGAACGGGAGAAGTCCAGCGTCAGCGTCTCGCCGTCGACGGTGAGGTCGAGCGCCACCTTGAGCGGCTCGTCCGAGCGCCCGTCATTGTCGATATGGTCCTCGAAGGAATAGGCGCCGTCGGGGAGCTCGGAAATCAGCGCCCGCATCTGACGGCTCGCGCGGCGGGAGATCTCCTCCATCGCCGCCGCGACGATGTCGTCGCCGAAATTGTCGAGCAAATCGTGCAGCCGCGCGGTGCCGAGGTCGAGCGCGCCGAGCTGGGCGTTGAGGTCGCCGTAATTGCTCCCGGGCAGCCGGGCGTTGGCGAGCAGGATGTCGACGATGTCCTGGTTGATCGCGCCGCGATCGGCGAGCTTGACGGCGGGATACGCACCCCCTCCTGCATGATGTCGGTCGCCGTCGGGTTGTAGTTCCCCGGCACGTTGCCGCCGACATCGAGCCAATGGCCGACCGAGGCGAGGTAGCAGAACAAATCCCCGTCGCGGAAGATCGGCTTGACCAGCTTGATGTCGTTGAGATGGGTGGCGCCGACATAGGGGTCGTTGAGCAGGTAGATGTCGCCGTCCTTCGGCCCGCCATCGGCGTTGGCGCGCTCGATCGCGGCCTTGGTGGCGTAGCTCATCGCGCCGATGAAGACCGGCAGCCCCTGCTTGCCCATCGCCACGGTCTCGCCGTCGACGTCATAGACGCCGTGGCTGCCGTCCCCTGGCCTCGGCGATGACCGGGCTGAAGGCGGCGCGAAACAGCGTCGCGTCCATCTCGTCGACGAGCTGTTCCAGCCGGCCGCGGATGACGGCGAGGGTGACGGGATCGAGATCGGCGGAGGACATGCGATACCCGGATGCAGGCGTTGCAACGGCAATCGATGATGGCATAGTGCCCCGACCGAGTCATGCCCGCCACCGCCAGGAGAAAGCCGGATGGAGATCCGCAAGCTGATGACCATCGTCGAGGAGACCCGGCGCGAGCTCGGCCGTCCGGTGGAGCCGGCGACCCGCCAGGCCGCGGCGATCGCGGTGATCGTCAACCCCTATGCCGGGGTCTATGACGAAGAGCTCGAAGAGCTCCAGCAAGCGGGCGCCGAGCTCGGCGGTCTGCTGGTGCAGCGCGCGATCGACGCGCTCGGCATCGACGGGGCGTCGGTCAACAGCTACGGCAAGGCGGCGATCGTCGGCGAGCGGGGAGAGCGCGAGCACGCCGCCGCGGTGATGCACCCGCGGATGGGCCGCCCGGTGCGCGAGATCGTCGGGCCGGCGCGCTCGGTCATGCCGTCGACCAAGAAGATCGGCGGGCCGGGCACGGTCATCGATTGCCCGCTGCACCACAAGGACGAAATCTGGACGTTCAGCCATTTCGACGCGATGCAGGTCTCGGTCGCCGACGCCCCGCGCGCCGACGAGATCGTGGTCGTGGTGGCGGTCAGCGATTCGGGCCGGCCCTTCCACCGGGTCGGCGAGGATCTGTCGGTCGCCAACGTGATGTCCAAGAACGAATAGATGGCCCTCATCGCGCCCTTCCGGGCGATCATGCCGGCGCCGGCGCACGCGCAGGCGGTGGCCGCACCCCCTTATGACGTGCTGTCGAGCGCCGAGGCGCGCATCCGCGCCGCCGGCAATCCGCTGAGCTTCCTGCACGTCTCCAAGCCGGAGATCGACCTGCCGGAGGGGGTTTCGGACGACGATCCCGCGGTCTACGCCAAGGCGGCCGAGACCATGGCGCGGCTCACGGCCGACGGCGTGATCGGCCTCACCGACGAGGCCCATCTCTATGTCTACCGCGCCGGGAAGGACGGCCGCAGCCAGACCGGCATTGCCGGCGCGATGTCGATTGCCGCCTATGACGAGGGCCGCATCCGCAGGCACGAGCTCACCCGGCCCTCCAAGGTCGGCGACCGCGCGCGGCAGATCGCGGCGGTGGGCGCGCATACCGGCCCGGTCATGCTGTCGCACCGCGACGACGCCGCGGTCGCAGCGGCCATCGCGGCGGTCGCCGCGGGACGGCCGGCGCTCGAGGCCGAAATCGACGGCGTCAGCCATTCGGTCTGGATCGCCGACGGCGCGGCGGGCGCGGTCCCTGGCCGCGGCAATAGAGCGGCTCGAGACCCTCTACATCGCCGACGGACATCACCGTTCGGAGGCCGCTTCCCAGGTCGCCGCGGGCGGCGAAGGCGCGTCCTTTCTCGGCGTCAGCTTTCCCGAAAGCGAGATGCGGATCCTCGACTACAACCGGGTGGTGCGCGATCTCGGCCGGCATTCGCCCGGCGGTTTTCTCGCCGCGCTCGCCGCCGATTTCGACATCGCGCCCTCGCAGAAGCCGGTGCGTCCGGAACGGGCGCTGCAATTCGGGCTCTACATGGCGGGCCAATGGCGCCGGCTCGCGCTCAGATCCGCGCCGGCGGCGGACGGCGATCCGACGGCGACGCTCGATGCCGAGCTGCTGACGAGAAAGGTGCTGGCGCCGCTGCTCGGCATCGAGGATCTGCGCAACGATCCGAGGATCGACTTCGTCGGCGGCGGCCGGGGCTCTCGACGGGCTCGCCGCCCGGGTCGACAGCGGCGGGATGGCGGCCGCCTTCGCGCTCTACCCGGTCACGCTGCGCCAGCTCTTCGCCGTCGCCGACGCGGGCCGGGTGATGCCGCCCAAATCGACCTGGTTCGAGCCCAAGCTGGCCGATGGGCTGTTGTCGCTGCCGCTGGATGTCTGAGATGGCGGTTGCCGACGAGATTACGATCCGATCGAAGGCTGCTGCAATTCCTGCCGGCATTACGACCGGACCGCCTTCGGCACCGCCAATTACGGCCATTGCCGGCGCTACCCGCCGATCGCCATCGAGACCCAGCCGGGCGGCCTGCCGCGCGGAATATGGCCGGTGGTGGGCTACGACGACAGCTGCGGCGAATACCGGCCGGGCTGAAGGCTCGGCTGGAACCGCGGCGTCCCTCGATACGGCGCTTCGCGCGCCTACTCGGGATGAGGCCTCGATACGGCGCTTCGCGCGCCTGCTCGGGATGAGGGAGAGGTGGCCGCACAACCTCACTCCTCTCCCCCTGCGCTGCGCGCCGGCCTCGCCCCGGGGCCAAAGGGTAGCGGCCGCCCGGGGGGGCGGCCGCTAGGGGGGAGGAAACGTCCCAGAGCAGGGAGGCAATCGCGGCTTCCTTGGACAACGAAACCGCATGCAGGGAGGACCATACCAGCGCCGGCGAAAGGATCGATTGGACAAAGTGTCGCAGGGCGCTCGATACGCACGCCCGGATCAGTCCGGGGCCTCCTCAGGGTGATGGGTGTTTGGACGGGAACCGGATTTCCCTCATCGCGATAGTTCGTCTGCGCCCTCGGCTCCGCTCGGACAGTCTGCCTCGCCCTTATCGAACTGCGGTCACCGCTCGCCTGCGCCTACTTCTCCGCGAGATCGACGATGCGGTGCGGCGAGGCGTGGATGCCGAGGGTCTTGAGGGGCACATCGCCGGTGACGCGGAAGCCGTGGCGCTGGCCCGGCGGCAGGATCAGGGTGACGCCCGGCTCAAGCCGCACCGTGTCCTCGCCCTCGGCCCAGGCCTCCCCGGTGCCTTCGAGAACGGTGATCACCTCGACATAGGGGTGCGAATGCTCGGGCGTCCGGTAGCCCGGCGGCGAGACCTGGATCCCGGTGCGCACCGGGGTCGAGCCTTCATCGTCGCCGACCAGCGTATGGTAGGTCGCGCCGCCCGGGAACTCCTCCGCCTCGACTGTCCGATGTTCGACGACTTTCATGGTCTGACCTCCGCGCTATCCGCCAAGCCCGGCGAGGCGTTCGAGCACCCGCATCGCCGCCGGGCGTTCGGCCGCGGGGATGGGTTCCAGTATCCGTTTCTGCGCGCGCTCCACGGCGTCGATGGCGGCTTTCATCGCGCCCCGCCCTGCCGCGGTCAAATGCAGCGCGTTGGTCCGCCTGTCCTCCGGCTGGCGCTCGCGCCCGACCAGGCCGCGCCGGTCCAGGCGGCGCAGGATCTCGGTAAGGGTGGAACGGTCGATCCCGGTCATCCTGACCAGATCGGTCTGGTTGATCCCCGGGTTCTGGTGGACGCTGAGAAGAACCGCGAACTGGCGCGGCGTCGGGCCGTGCTCGCCCACCTCGTCGACGAACAGATCGACCGCGCGCTGCTGCGACCGGCGCAGCAGATGCCCCGCCGCCGCGTGCAGATCGTAGCTCGCGGCGTCGATGCGGGCAGCCTTGGCGGCAGCTCGTGGGCGCCGTCGCTGGCCGCTTGTTGGGCGCCGTCGCGCATGGTCGATCCCATGTTAGTCTGTACACGGATTAAATTCTTGGCTAGAGTGCCTGTCAATAGCGGAGCCGAAGGGAGGTGGAGACAGTCATGGAATTCGGCATGCAATTCTTTCCGTGCGTCGGGCCGGATCAGCGCCCGGCGGACGCGTATTTCGACGACTGCCTCACTCTGTGCGAGCTGTGCGACGAATACGGATACACCCATATCCGCACGGTCGAGCATTATTTTCACCCCTATGGCGGCTACAGCCCGAACCCGATCGTGTTTCTTTCCGCCGCCTCGCAGCGGACCGGGACCGCGCGCATGGTCACCGGCGCGGTGCTGCCGGTGTTCAACAACCCGCTCAAGCTGGCCGGCGAGATCGGCATGCTCGATGCGATCTCCGGCGGGCGGCTCGAGGTCGGCTTCGCGCGCGCCTTCCTGCCGCACGAATACCGGCGCTTCGGCGTTTCGCTCGACGAATCCGTCGCCCGCTTCGACGAGGGGATGGCCCAGGTCCGCCGTCTGCTCGAAGAGGAGAACGTGACCGAGAAGGGGCAGTTCCACAGCTTCGAGAACGTCACCTCGCTGCCCCGGCCGACCCAGACGCCGCGGCCCAAATTCTGGACCGCGGCCTTCACCACCCCGCAATCCTTCGAGAAGGCCGGCCGCCAGGGCAACTGGATCATGGCGATCCCGATTTCCGGCGCGGCGATGCGCGAGCTCTGCGACATCTACCGCGAGGCGTGGGACAAGGCCGGCCACAAGGGCCAGGGACGGGTGATGCTCGCCTTCCACATGTACTGCCACGAAGACGCGCGCGAGGCGGCGCGGATCGCCCGCGATCCGCTCAACCGCTATCTCGGCTCGCTGGTCGACGCGGCGTCGGACTGGATCAGCGGCACCTCGTCGGCGGACTACAAGGGCTACGGCAAGATGATCGACGCCCTCAAGCAGGAGACCTTCGAGTCGCAGGTCGAGAAGGGCGCGGCCTGGGTCGGCACGCCCGGCCAGCTGGTCGACCGGATCGCCGCCTATGCCGAGGCGGTGGGGGGGATCGACGACGCCTCGCTGCAGGTCAACTTCCACGACATGGGGCTGCAGGACGCCGAACGCTCGGTCCGCCTGTTCGGCGAAGAGGTGATGCCCCATTTCGGCGACGCCAGGGCGGCGGCCGAGTAGACCGCCGGTCCATCGACGCTCTCCCGCGCCGCGCGGCCTTCCGCGCGGCGCTTTCATATCGGGCGGGAAGGAAAGACGCATGGAGCCCCACCGGATCGACGTCCACCACCATATCCTGCCGCCGGACTATGTCGCCACGGTGGGCGACGACCGGATCGGGCCGCTGATCCTCGCCGGCCGCACGCCGGAATGGACGCCCGCGATGTCGGTCGAGGCGATGGACCGGAACGGCATCGCCACCGCAATCACCTCGATCTCGGCGCCCGGGCTGTGGTTCGGCGATAACGAGGAGTCGGTCCGCCTCGCCCGGATCTGCAACGACTACGCCGCCTCGATCCGCCTCGATCATCCGGGCCGGTTCGGCGTGTTCGCGTGCCTGCCGCTGCCCGACGTGGATGCCAGCCTGGCCGAGATCGCCCATGCGCTCGACACGCTGAAGGCCGACGGCATCGGCCTGCTCACCAGCTATGGCGACCGCTATCCCGGCGATGCCGCCTTCCAGCCGGTGTTCGACGAGCTCAACCGGCGCCGCGCCGTGGTCTATTTCCACCCCACCAACGCGCCTTGCAGCCATGCCTGCCCGAGATCCCGGCGGCGACGCTGGATTTCCCCTTCGACACAACGCGCGCGGTGGTGAGCCTGCTCTATTCGGGCACCTTCGCGCGCTGCCGGGACATCCGCTTCATCTTCTCCCACGCCGGCGGCACCGTGCCCTTCCTCGCCGAGCGCATCGCGCGGCTGGGCGCCCGGCCGGGGTTCAGGGAAGCGGTGCCGAACGGGGTGCTGCCGGAGCTTGAGCGGCTCTATTACGACACCGCGCTGTCGGCCAACTGGCTCGCCTTCCGCAGCTTGCTGGAGCTGGTCACGCCGGACAAGGTCCTGTTCGGCAGCGACTACCCCTTCGCGCCGGAAGCGACGATGACCGCAACCGTCCAGGGGCTGATCGAGCTCGGGCTGGACTCCGACATGCTGCAAGGCATCGAGCGCGACAACGCGCTCGCGCTGTTCCCCGGGATCAGGGCAGGATAACGATCTTCCCGAAGAAGCCGCGCTCTTCCATCAGCCGCTCGGCGGCGCCGGTCTCGGCGAGCGGAAAAACATGGCTCACCACCGGCGCGAGCCGGCCCGCCGCGACATGCTCGACCGAGCGCTCGACATCTGCCTGCGAATAGGAGTTGGAGCCCAGCACGTCGAGCTCGCGCACCCAGATATAGCGGAGGTCGGTGACCGGGTCGTGGCCGGCCGTCGCGCCGCAGGTCAGCACCCGCCCGCCGCGTTTGGCGGTCCTCAAACAGGGCGCCCAGGTATCGCCGCCGGTGAAATTGACCACCACGTCGCAGCCCTTCTTGTCCGAGGCGAGCCACGCGGCGCGGGAGAATTCCTCCGCCGAATAGTCGATCGCATGGTCGGCGCCGAGGGCTTCCAGGCGCGCGCATTTCTCGGCCGAGCCGGCGGCGGCGATCACCCTTGCCCCGGTCATCTTGCCGAACTGGAGGCAGGCGATGCCGACGCCGCCGCTGGCGCCCAGCACCAGCATGGTCTCGCCGGGCGCAAGCCGGCCGCGCGCGTAAAGCATGCGGTGCGCGGTGCCGTAGTTGATGGGGATTGCCGCGGCGGTCTCGAACGACACGCCAGCGGGCAGCCGGACCAGGTTCCTGGCCGGCACGATGACGCGCTCGGCGAGCCCGCCCAGGATCTCCTCGCCCATCATGCCGCCGTCGGTCTGCGGGTTCATGGTCACCCTGTCGCCCGGCGACCACAACTCGACGCCCGCACCCAGCGCATCGATCGTGCCGGCGATGTCGCCGCCCGAGATGAACGGCATCGGCACCGGGAAGCCCGGCATGCCGCGGCGCACGAAAATGTCGAGATGGTTGAGCCCGCAGGCCTTCACCGCCACCCGGACCTCGCCCGGCCCGGGCTCGGGATCGGGCCAGTCGCGATAGACGATGTTCTCGATCGCGCCCTGTTTTTCGATCACCGCCGCTTTCAACGAAATCCTCCCTAGCGCCCGCCGTCGTCGACGAAGCGGTTTATTCCGACATCCATTTGCCAGCCGCGCCGCCACGCTTCGAGCAAAGGGGCGCGCATCTTCGCGTTGCGCCGGGCGACCGCCTGGATATCGGCGCGCAGCCCCGGCATTACCGCCTCGATTTCTTCCCTCAGCGCGGCTTCGTCGATGAAGGCGAGACGCCGGTTCTCCAGCACCACCCTGCCCGTCGACGATCACCGCGTCCACGCTCTCCCCGCTCTCGGCGAACACCGTCTGGCGCGCCGCGCTGTTGAGCGGCACGATATTGCGGCGCCGACAGGCCGATCAGCGAAATATCGGCCTTCATGCCGGGGCGGATCGCGCCGATCTCGCCGGCGAGCCCGAGCGCCCGCGCGCCGCCCAATGTGGCGCAGGCGATGGTGTCGGCGGCGCTCGGCGGGCCGGGCTCCGGGTTGGTCACCGCGGCGAGCCCGGCGAACGCCTTCATCGCGTGGAACATGTTCTGCGCATCGCCGCAGGAGAGTTGTCGCAGCCGATCGCGGTCGGCACCCCGGCATCGAGATAGCCGCGGATCGGCGGCACGCCGGACCGGGTTTTCAGATTGCCGACCGGGTTGAGGATCACGTTGGTCCCGGTCTCGGCCAGGATCTCGATCTCGTCGGGGCGCATCCAGACGCTGTGGGCGAGCCCGACATTGGCCCCGAGCAGCCCGGTCGAGCGCAGATACTTGACCTGCGAGCCGTCATGCTCGGGCATGAACAGGCGACCGGCGACCGCCATCGAGCGCGATTCGTAGATATGGGTGATCACCGGCAGTCCGTATTCGGCCGACAGCGCCGCCAGCCCTTCGAGCAGGCGCGGCGTGCAGAACTCCGGGCTGGTCGGGCCGAGCGCCCAGCGAAACCGCGGCGAGGTCGCGCGATAGTCGAGATACCGGTCGCGGACATGGGTGAGCGGGTCGAAGCCGCCGGGCTCGACCGAGGCGCCGAGATGGCGGTGATATTCCTCGGGAACGACCTCCTTCCAGAACGGCACCCGTTCGATCCCCGGGATGTCGCCGACCTGCAGCGAAAACGTGCAGCGGATGCCGATCTCCTCATAGGCGGCGACCACGGTCGCCAGATGTTCGGGATCGAAGGGGAAGAGCGTCAGCATGTCCTGGATGGTCGTCATCCCCGAGCGCAGGCATTCCGCCGCGCCCAGCAGCGTCCGCGCGCGCACCTCGGCGGCGGAGCGCCTGGGGTATGCCGGCGGCAGCGCGTGCAGCAGCCAGAGCTCGAGCGGCAGGGTCTCGAAACAGCCCTTCAGGAGCACGTCGTGCGAGTGGTAATGCGCGTTGACGAAACCCGGCATGACCAGCTTGCCGGCGGCATCGATCGTCCGGTCGGCGGGACCGATTCCGGCGCCGATTCGGGCGATGCGGTCGCCCTCGATGAGCACGTCGGCGACCGGCGGCAGGTCGGTGTCGCCGTCATGGTCGTAGACCCGGCCGCCCCGGATCAGGATGCTGGGCGTTCCCTCCGCCATTGCCGCCTCCGCTCTCGATGGGATCACTATAGCGCGATGCCCCCGGACGGTATGCTGGCGCCATGAGCCGGACCGCCGCTCAAGCCGTGCGCGCGCTCGCCGCCACGCTTGCGGTGCAGGCGATGGTCACCATGGCGACGCTGACGGTTCCCGTCTTCGCGCCCGAGGCGGCCGGCGATATCGGGCTCGACGCGGCGAATATCGGCATCTACGCATCGCTGATCTATTCGGGCGCGATGACCGCCTCGCTGCTGAGCGGCGGGGCGGTGCCGCGCTTCGGCCCGATCCGCATGAGCCAGGCGGGCCTCGCGATCTCGATCGCCGCGCTGGCGCTGACGACGACCGCCTGGTGGCCGCTGCTGGCGCTGGCCGGGTTTCTGCTCGGCATCGGGCTCGGCCCGGCGACGCCCGCGAGCTCCCACATCCTCACCCGCCATACCCCGGCGCGGCTGTCCTCGCTGGTCTTCTCGATCAAGCAGACCGGCGTGCCCCTCGGCGGGATGCTCGCCGGCGCCCTGGTGCCGCTATTCGTCATCGAGCTGGGCTGGCGCGGCGCCTCCTGGGCGGTCGCCGCGATGTGCCTGTTCTGCATCCTCGCCATCCACCCGACGCGGCGGCATTTCGACATCGAGCTCAAGCCGGACAGGCAGACCTTCCGCAGCAGCGTCGTCGGCCCGCTCAGGCTGGTGCTGGCGCAGCCCGTGCTGCGGCGGCTCTGCTTCGCATCCTTCTTTCGCCGCGATCCAGCAATGCTTCACCGTCTTCCTGGTCACCTATCTGGTCGCCGGGGTGGGGATGGGGTTCGTCAAGGCGGGGCTGACGCTGGCGATCGCCCAATTTGCCGGGATCTGCGGGCGCATCGTCTGGGGCGGGCTCGCGGACTGGATCGGCCGGCCGCAGCCGGTGCTGGGCGGGCTCGGCATCGCCATGGGGATCGCCGGTTTCGCGGCCGCGTGGTTCGACGCCTCCTGGCCCTACTGGGCGATCGTCGGCGTCTCGATCGCGCTCGGCGCGACCGGTGTCGGCTGGAACGGGGTGTTCCTGTCCGAGGTCGCGCGCATCGCCCCGGGCGGCCAGGCGAGCCGGGCCACCGGCGGGGCGCTGTTCATCACCTTTTTCCGCGTCGTCACCGCGCCGCCCATCTTCGGCGGGATCGCCGCGCTGACCGGATCGTTCGGCCACGGCTTCGTCATCTTCGCGGTGCTCGCCCTGATATCGGGCATCGTCGTGCTGCGCGGCCGGGCGGCCGCTTGAACACCAGGGAGGGAGAAAACATGAAAGTCGGATTCATCGGCCTCGGCCGCATGGGGCAGGCCATGGCGAGGCGCCTGCTCGAGGCGGGGCACGACGTCACGGGCTACAACCGGACATACGAAAAGGCCGCCGCGCTCGCCCCGGCGGGGGCGACGATCGTGCGCAGCATCGCCGATGCGGTTTCCGGCCGCGAGGCGGTCTCACCATGCTCGGCACCGACGAGGATCTGGCGCACGTCATCGAGGGAACCGGCGGCATCGCCGCGGCGATGCCCCAAGGCGCGATCCATGTCGGCATGGGGACCCACAGCGTCGCCATGAGCCGCCGCGCCGCCGCCATCCATGCACGGCGATGCGGGCCAGGTCTATGTCGCGGCGCCGGTGCTCGGGCGCCCCGATGCGGCGGCGGCGGGCGCGCTCGGCATCCTCGCCGCCGGCCCACCCGAGGCCGTGGAGGCCTGCCGGCCGCTCTTCGATGCCATGGGCCGGCGCTGCTTCGATGCCGGCGAGGCGCCCGCGGCCGCGTCCTCGCTCAAGCTCGCCAACAATTTCGTCCTCGGCTGCGCGATCGAGGCGATGGGGGAAGCCTTCGCCCTGGTCCGCCGCTACGGCGTCCGGCCCGAGACCCTCTACGACATGCTGACCGACGGCCTCTTCGCCTGCACCGCCTACGAGGTCTATGGCGACATCATCGCCAAGGAGGACTGGGACCGGGTGGGGATGACCGCGTCGCTCGGCCTCAAGGACGCGAATCTCGCGCTCGCCGCGGCCGACGCGGAACGGGTGCCGCTGCCGTCGGCCAATGTCTGGCGCGACCGGCTGCTCGGCGCCATCGCGCATGGCGACGGCGAGCGCGACTGGGCGGTGGTCGCGCGCGAACAGGCAAGGGCGAGCGGGCTCGAATAGCGCCGCCGCGATTGATGAAGCGGCGGCGATGTGAAATCTTTCGTCGGACAGGAGCGGATGCAGGGCGAGACGCCGTGCCGCCGAGACCGGAAAGGACGACCGATGGCAGCTGATCACGGCAGACCGGGAGCGAGCGATCCGGCCCATCTCGAGCCGCATTACAACTGGGCCAGGGCGATCCCGGCGCCGGGTCACAGCGGCGTCGACACCGAGGAACGGATCAATTTCGACCGGCTGCGCAACTACCGCCTGGCGCGCGCCAGGCAGGCGCTGGAGAACTCCGGGCTCGGCGCGCTGTTGTGTTTCGACAACAACAACATCCGCTACCTCACCGGCACCGCCATCGGCGAGTGGTCGCGGGACAAGATGTCGCGCTATGCGCTGCTGATGCGGGGCGAGGAGCCGCATGTCTGGGATTTCGGCTCGGCCGCCTCGCACCACCGGATCCAGGCGCCCTGGCTCAAGGTCGAGAACATCCACGCCGGCATGCTGGGGCTGCGCGGCACGGTTCCGCCGGAAGCGGGGCTGATGACCAGGGCGGCCGAGCAGATCAAGTCGATGCTCGACGAGGCCGGCATCGGCGACATGCCGATCGGCGTCGACATCTGCGAGCCGCCGATGCTGTTCGAGCTGCAGAAGCGCAATATCGAAATCCGCGACGGCCAGCAGGTGATGCTCGATGCGCGCGAGGTCAAGAATATCGACGAAATCGTGCTGCTCAACCAGGCCGCGGGCATGGTCGATGCGGTCTATCACATGATCGGGGAGGAGCTGAAGCCGGGCGTCCGCGAGAACGACATCGTGGCGCGGGCCAACAAGCTGCTCTACGAGATGGGCTCCGACGACGTCGAGGCGATCAACGCGATCTCGGGCGAGCGCTGCAGCCCGCACCCGCACAACTTCACCGACCGCATGGTGCGCCCCGGCGACCAGGCCTTTTTCGACGTCCTGCACGGCTATATGGGCTACCGCACCTGCTACTACCGGACGTTCAATGTCGGGCGCGCCAGCGAGGCCCAGCGGGACGCCTACAAGCAGTGCCGCGAATGGCTGGATGCGGCGATCGAGCTGGTGCGCCCCGGTGTCTCGACCGACGAGATCGCCGCCGTCTGGCCGGAGGCGGAGAGCTTCGGCTTCGCCGGCGAGATGGAGGCGTTCGGGCTCCAGTTCGGCCACGGGCTCGGCGTTTCGATCCACGAACGGCCGATCATCAGCCGGCTGATCTCGATGGAGGACCCCAAGGAGATCAAGGAAGGCATGGTCTTCGCACTGGAAACCTATTGCCCGGCGACGGGACGGCTATTCCGCCGCCCGCATCGAGGAGGAGGTCGTCGTCACCGACGAGGGGCCGAAGGTGATCAGCCTGTATCCGGCCGAGGAACTGCCGATCTCCGCCAAATACTGAAGCCGAGGGGAGGAAATCTTGGCAAACGCCACCGAACGGCCGAAGCGGCCAAGCCGGATCTCGCCAATGACGATATCGGCGAGGAGACGCGGCTTGCGCTGTGGCGCTCCCAGCTCGAAATCCGCCATGTCGAGAAGCGGGCGCACGATCTGTTCCTGCAGAATCTCGTCAAGGGAACGGTCCACCTGTCGCTCGGCCAGGAAGCGATCGCGGCCGGGTTCGCGGTGGCGATGGAAAAGGGCGACTACTCGTTCTGCACCTATCGCGGCCACGCCCATACGCTGGCCCGCGGCGCCCCGATGTCGGGGGTGCTGGGCGAGCTGATGGCGCGCGAATGCGGCTTGCTCAACGGCAAGGGCGGCTCGATGCATCTGACCAGCGTCGAGCACGGCGCGATGGGGTCCTACGCCATCATCGGCGCCCATCTGCCGATCGCCATGGGCGCCGCCTGGTCGGCGCAATACCGCGGCACCGAACAGGTCTCGGTCTGCTTCTTCGGCGACGGGACCACCAATATCGGCGCCTTCCACGAGGCCCTCAACATGGCGCAGGTCTGGAAGCTGCCGGTGATCTTCGTCTGCGAGAACAACCTCTATATGGAATATACGCCGATCGGCGACGTGACCGCGGTGGAGCACCCGGCGGCCGACCGCGCGTCGGCCTATGGCATGGAGTCGATCATCGTCGACGGCAACGACGCCGACGCGGTCTACCGCGTCGCGCAGACCGCCTACGCCAAGGCCCGGTCGGGCGGCGGACCCTCGCTGATCGAGGCCAAGACCTATCGCCACAGCGGGCATTCGCGGGGCCGACCCGGGCACCTACCGGCCGGACGAAGAAGTCAGGGAATGGCTCGCCCGGGACCCGATCCCGGCCTACCGGCAAAGGCTGCTCGATTTCGGCTTCGCGGAAGCCGCGATCGACGCCATCGACGCCGACGTGCTGGCGGCGGTCGACGCGGCGACGGAGACGGCCAAGGCCTCGCCCCAGCCGCCGCCGGAAATCCTCGAGACCGAGGTCTATGCCGATGGAGGCGCGGCATGGCGGAACTGACCTGTCGCGAGGCGGTCGCCGCCGCGATCGCCCAGGAGATGAGGCGCGACCCCGCGGTGGTGTTCCTCGGCGAGGACATCGGCGCGGCGGGCGGGGTGTTCAAGACCACCGTCGGGCTGTTCGAGGAGTTCGGGCCCGTACGGGTGCGCGACACGCCGATCTCCGAACAGGCGATCGTCGGCGCCGCGATGGGCGCCGCGATGACCGGGCTCAGGCCGATCGCGGAGATCATGTTCTCCGACTTCTTCGCCGTCTGCTGGGACCTGGTGGCCAACGAGATCGCCAAGTCGCGCTACATGACCAACGGCCAGGTCTCCTTCCCGCTGGTCATCCGCAGCGCCAATGGCGGCGGCGCGCGGTTCGGCGCCCAGCATTCGCAGTCGATCGAGAACTGGGCGATGATGATCCCGGGGCTCAAGGTCGTCGCCCCCTCCAACCCGGCCGATATCGTCGGGGCTGCTGGCGGCCTCGATCCGCGATCCCGATCCGGTGATCTTCTTCGAGCAGAAATCGCTTTACGGCGTCAAGGGGCCGGTTCCCGACGGCGAGCATGTCGACAGGCTGGGGACCGCGAAGATCCTCCGCGAGGGCGGCGACGCCGCCATCGTCGCGCTCGCC